CCCTTCTTCATTTGACTAGGGCGGGGGGGATATAAAAAAAGTTATTTTTGTGGCTTTACGGGTAAGAATTTTATGTGATTGAAATATGTAGCTGCTGTATAGGAGGAGGAGGAAAAAAAAACTTTGACAAAACATAAAACAAAGATAGTAAAATACTACAGTACATCCAGCTTTAATTTTTTTTTAATCATAATATTCTTGATGATGACGATGATGACAACAATGATGATCATAATGGCAATGAGGATGATGATAACAAATATGATGATGATGATCTAAACAGTGATTATGATGACGACGACGACGATAATGATGATGATAACAATGATGATGATGATGAAGATGACGATGATGATAGTGATGATGATGATAACAATAGTGATGATGATGTTGATAACGATGATGATGATATTTGGATGACTAATACTACAGTATTGTATCTTCACACAGATGAAGAGGAGATACGCGTACTTAGAAAGATAAATTTCTACGATACATAATGAGGAAACAGGGTTTAAAAAATTCGACACTCACAAGGCCATAGGTACAGAGTGGAAATAGAATAACCTAGCTAACGTAATTGTGTAAATTGATGGCAGAACAGTAACTGGCGTCCTTTGTTTAGAATGACAAATGATAGGAAATTGTAGAGAGCCACAGGACACTGAACATCAAAGAAAATGGGGATTATTGAGTGAGGCTTTGTACAATATTGGTAGTCTGGGTAAACATTAGCCTTTCCAGATACCTCAACTCCGCATATAAGACTAAGACCAGGTGTATACATTTTAGAGGTTTGTTAGAAAAGTAATATTTGATATTTCTTTCATGCTGTTAAATATACATTCACATTCAGATCAAAATGTGCTGTCAAAATTCTGTTCTTTTTCTTTCATCGTTAGAGCCTAAATATGGCGGGCATAAAACAAGTCAAGCCTTTATGAAAGCTAATAGACTTTCCAGTCACTCTACGGAAATATAGCGAACAATGTTTCTTGTTTATTCACCTGCGCATGCGTTAACAACCGACAGCCTGTTATCTTTAGACCTGTTAGTTCTGTGACGATTTGCTGTATCAGAATCCATGAGGCACCATGTTTAAAACCACATACTTGATAAAGCCTTTTATTTCTTCTTTTATGAAACATGTCCTTTCATGATATGGGAAAACATGGTTCTCCACAGTTTGCTGTTTTGTGATCCTCTCCAAACCACCCTTTGCCTTGTTCACACATACTTGTAAAGTAATATTATTCACTGTTTCAAACTACACCCTTAGTATGACATGTGAGTGTTAAATACTCCAAGCCCACTTTCCTCATTATATTTCCTAGAAAATGTAACTGTCTCTATCTAACCATTAGCATTTCCTCGTAGTTCCTATTTTCCTTAAAACATGCTGATTACTCACATGTTCTCAGAATTTGTTGGTCGAACCATATCTTTGTCGCTTCATATCTATGCTTCATCCGTGAGAAAATGATCCCAAATTCCCTGACGTATCGAAACGCTAGCAACATAGATGAGGACAATAGTTCGCAGACAAATGATATAAATAATTCCTGGTAGGTTTTCTTGTTCTCTGAGAATTATTTCGCCGTATCAGTTAAATAAATCCGGTCAGAAAACGCACAAAAGTTAATTAGTAAATAATGGTTTCAATATTGTAAAACAAACTTGAGACCAGGTAAAATAATGAAATTGGTATCGAAATGAAATAAATTTCGTTCTCTTTAAAATTGCGAATGTCGCTTGAAAAGCCACGTCTTTAATACTACAGAACGTTTTAAAACAAATAATAATGAAATTAAATAAATTTATTTCTCTTCAAATTTACGCCTGTCGAATGATAAAAAGGCCTCCAATACTAAACAGGGTTTTAAACAAAAAGAAATAATAAAATGAAAACAATTTATTTCTCTTTAAAATTACGAATTTCGCTTCATAAACAAGGCCTCCAATTCTACGTAAGGTTTTAAAAGAAAACAATAATGCAATGAAATAAATTTATTCATCTTCAAAATTACGAGTGTCGCTTGATCAGCATGGTTTTCATTACTTCAAAAGGTTTTAAAGCAAACAAATAATGAAATAAATTTATTTCTCTTCAAAATTACACATGTCGGTTGATAAGCAAGGACTATAATCCTACAAAAGGTGTTAAAAGAAACAGAATAATGTAATGAAATAAATGTTTTTCTCTTCAAAATTGCGAGGATCACCTGATAAGTTAGGTATCCAATCCTTCATATGGTTTCAAACTATTGTGAGACCGGAACTACCTACACAATAGACTCTTCCAGGTCTATATTAAGTATGCGACACAACACTCTAGACTGAGAGTCAGAGAGATAGAGAGAGTCTGAGAGATAGAGACACAGTGAGAGCCGCGTACGACTACCAGTATTGGACACTAGCATATAGTAAGCTCCGCTTACACTATCTCTGTAATCTGTTGTTAATATATCTTTCTTACATCTAATCCGTGTTCCGTGTTTTCCTTCTGTGGTCCCAACTTTGGCACCACATCACAAACCAAACAAAATAATGAAATGAAATAAATTTCTCTTCAAAATTATGCATTTTGGTTGGTAAGCAAGCTCTCCAATCCTTCAAAATGTTTTAAACAAAGCAGAATAATGAAAAGAATTAAATTTATTTCTCTTCAAAATTACCAGTGTCGCTTGATAAGCAAGGTCTCCAATGCTACAAAAGGTTTTAAACCATGCAGAAAAATGAAATGATATAAAAGTATTTCTTAAAATTAAGAGTGTTGATGGATCATAATAGATGAGTATAACGTCTGTACTTTTTCTACCTACCATGTCCGTTCAGAATGTTAGCGACCATTGCTATCCTTAACCCCCTATCACTTGAAGGTCTTAGCAATATTTGTCCTTTTGCCAAGACCCCCACCTCTGTTCCGCCATCTATTCACATATGTTCTTTCCTTGTCTCTTTCCACATTATATGTTCAATAAATTTTCGCTGTCTTTTTCTGATTTTCAGTATAAGTGCCCATTTTGCTTGCATTTTTCTTAAGGCTTCTTCGTTGCTTAAACGCTCCGTCCTTGGAATTCTCAGCATCTTTCTGTAGAACTACATTTCTGTTGTTTGTAGTTTGTACAAGAGGATTGAACCATAAGACGAAATACGCCTGTTTATTATAACACATTTTCGAACTATCCACTCGCCTTTCTTAAGAAAATCCCGAAATATATGTTATAAGCCCATCTGCTAATGATTAATTTTTTCTCAAGTCGGAATATAAACGTTTTTTTTTTCTTGCTTTTGCTTTTTTTATGAATGCATAAATCGGAATTAAAATAAACGTCTATGCAGCGAATTTTGTTTTTAAGAGTGCCTCCCCACCCCCGCCGAAAAAACACGAATAATCCCAGCAGATATCTCAGCAGAAATCCCAGCAGATAAAGAAAGATTATTTAGCTTGACTCCCACCTCCATATAACAAAGCTATAGAAACAAAAGTGGAGAGTATATCTTTGAAACTAACTCCCTGAGTCTCACTAAATTTCATAAATCATCGGGTAGGTTAAAAGCCGTGAATGGGTTTCAATATTTAAAAATGCTATTATTTTAGTGTATTTACATTACACTATTCATTTAGTTAGCTCGAAATTCCCAGTATGGATTTCCTGTACTCGGATCGACGTACAGTTGGTGAAGGCCGGAAGTCACAATGACCGAAACGTTATGAAATCAACAAAAAAGATGAAAACAATAGTCCAGATGTAAATAATAGAAATAATGATAACTCCTATACATAAAATGGTATCAAACATGTTTCATTTTCCTCATAGCTTTATAAACTAAAACTAAGTTGTTTTAGGAATTTGGTGACATAGTAATTGTGATTTCAATCCCTGGGCAGTGTGTATTTGGACTCAGTGGAATCAGGGTGAGCAATAACTAACCAGTACTAAAAATAAAAACTTGACAAAATATCCCTAGGCATGTGCACTGTGTCGAGAACAGTCTACCCCAGTAGATTAGATAAACGTTTCATATCGGAATTTTCTGTAGCTTATCCACATCAACATACATGATGGTGAAGGCCAGAGGGCGCGACAACCGAAATGATGGGATAACAACAACAACAACAAAAAATGAGGACAATACTGTAAACTATGATAACTCCTCATCGCAGAAATTCAGACAGAAGGCGATCAAGGGATAATAGTAAGATGAGGACAATCGTCTGCATGTAAATAGTGCAAATAATGATCAGAAGGCGATCAGGTGATAATAACAACAAGCATGAGGACAATAGTCCGCATGAAAATAACGATAACTCTTCATCCCAGAAATTCAGATAGAAAGTTTTTTTTTTAATTTTTTTTTAAATTTACAATACCATCATGAAAATGTATGAAGTTAATGTATGAAAAATCTCGTAAATTGCGCCTATTTTAATCTAAAAGTTTATTTAGCATTTCAGACCCGGTTCGTTACGATTAAACCTCGTGAGACAAGTTTGCTAACCATTACAGCACGTCGAAGTAAACATATCGATTTAGTAAGTGTAGCGCAGATGTGATGTAGCATAAGGCTGAAAGCATAGAGCACCTAGTGAGGATCGAACTCACTATTCAGTCGTAATTGATCTAACGAGACAACGCTTACTAACCATTATACCACATCGAAGTGACCTAAGCATAATATATATGTGTACACGTGATAGAAATTCACGCTTCACTGTAACTTTAGGTTGATTGACCATTGACTTGTTTTTACAGCATATCAACTCTTTGCAAGTTATTTAAGTCATATTTGTTTTTAGATTGTACTACTTTTATGGGATAATAACTTTTTATTAATGCGAGTGATACTAATTAACCCATAGCTGGAGGGGACAGAGGTGGATTCATACACTTCCCAAGCATATTTGCGCGAATATAACACACCGGACTGGAATTGGAACTCGGCACTCCGATTTCCAATTCCGAACCGTTATCCATTCCACCACCGCACATCCAAACTTACAGCATCTGATATTCCCAACCGGTCACCCATCTAGGTTCTGATTAGACTCGACTTTGCTTAACTTCGCTGATCGGACGAGATCGGTGTTTCAACGTGAAATTGCCGTAAACCTCGTAACTACAGGAATAGAGATAGAGGCCCTCTCCGGGGAGCAAATGTTTAAGTATTAACATAATTTATCAAGCAACAGTGAAAACTAAAAATGTCGTATATATAAATCATGGTAACTATTGTTACGACAAGGCAGTACAGCGATTTCTATGTATTTGTGGGAACTGAAAGATAAAGACCAATAAAAACTGGAGGTGAAATGGAGAATTTTAAAGAAAGTGTTTTTGCATGCCAGTCAGGATTTTAAAAAAAAGTGTGGACGACGCTTGGAAGAAAAGTTACACATTTTAGTAGAAGACACTGTTGAAGTCCTTTGCAAATGTTGGTAAGAGAATAAATATCTGTTATAAAACGTATCCGCTGGTCATGCATTCATGGCCATTTCTCTGCTGGCATGTTGTAAAAAAACAATTCGGAGAGGAAAAATAAGCAGAACATAACCATAGTGGAAACTTTTGCTGCGTATTCTTTAATTGGTTTTTACCGATTTACGCGTCTGTGTTATTTGTTAGACTATGATATCTTTTGCGCGAACGCACCATATTTGAATTTACACTTCAAAGATTAGAATGTTGTATGGCTAACGTGTCCATGAAATAAACTGTCCATTACACACTGGAGGCATATCAATATTAGGTGCGTGCAAAAGTGTCCAGCTTTCCTTTATCTAAGAGAAGCCTATTTCTACTGGGTAGTCAGTCTAAGAACGGGGCCAATATGTTTATAAACATGTGTAATAATCTGTCTCTATTTCTGAGATGAGGTATTGTAATTATTTTCACTATTTACATTGTTCAGACTGTTGTCCTCATCTTTGTTGCCATATATACGACGTTTCGGCCGTTGTACGCTCCGGCCTTCTTCAGGTGATTCGAATTTTGATCTGAACTCTTTATTTCGTCCACCAGGATAGATTGTTCTAGTTCCACATGCCATACCTGTTCTTATTAGTTATCTTCCTTTAACTCAGTTCTCCTCAGTTATTGAACTTAAACTCTTCGAGTCAAGTCACTGGATTCAACCAATGCTTTTATCCTTGGAGAGTTGACATAATACATATATGTTGTTGTGACCAAGTAATTGGTTAAGAAATAACGAAACAGGAGGTTGCAGATAAATAGTGTATTGAACAGTAAATACAACAAAGTGTGATACACGACTTAGGAATGTGTGTCGGTTGACCAGCGTTCAGTCTATATCACTGTTATATTCAGTGAATCACCCCCTACGAGAGCACATGTGGCACAGTTTAACGTGGGTCATCCGAGTCCATAGGCGCGGCCAAAAATTCCCCTTAGAACCCGCATAAACAGGTTCGGGCCTGTCTACCTCCCCGGACGAAACTCTGCCCGTCGACACAGCGTCGTCCGGATTCCACTCTGCCAAAAGCGGAGAGTTCGACAGGAGCTGCGAACAGCCTCAGTAGAACAGTCTATATCACCGTTATATTTAACGCCCCCCACGTGGGTCGTATGTGGCTCGGCCAAAAATATTCCCTTCGAACCCGTGTAAACGGGTTCAGGGCCTGTCTACCTCCCTGGACGAAACTTTGCCCTTCGGCAAAGCTTCGTCCGGGTTTGACAGTAATGAACGGCCTATATCACCGTTTCCCCAAGGCTTACTTTCCTACTACTTTATAATAAGTTGAAGAGTCCACAATAGTCTCATTAGAGGAAAGAGACCACGACATATGTATAGGCATACATATATATTTCGGCGCTTTTCACTCATCGACAGCCATTTTTTTACACTAGAGGATTAGGTCAGATTATTTAACAAAAGCATTAAAACATAATATTTATTTTTGAAGACACCAAAGTAAAAACGAGTGAAGATATTCATTCCGGAAAAGAAAAAGGTTGGCAAACATATATCTTTGTGCCTGCAAAAAAAAAAAAAAAAAAAAACAAAACAAAAACAAAAAAAAAACAAAACAAAAAAACATAGAGTATCAATCAAAAGGCCGTTTTTCCACATTACACCGCTTTTATTTTAACTACCTTCACTCCTTCCGCAATGTTGTTTTAAAAGTGCCTATTTTTGTATATTAATATCCGTGTTTGTGTGTATATATGCGAATTGATATATTTCAGCAGATATTTAAACATACACACGTATATTCATGGGTTCGTGAGTGTGTTCGTGCATGTGTTCGAAGATGTCTAAGTGCACTGACTCATAAGGTTGTAGTTAAATATATCGATCTGCATAATTATTACATGGAATCCTAAATCAACCTGGCATTATCGATAAACTCAATCTATGCGTAAATCATAGTTTGTTCGCCGACCATATCAAGACACTGACTCAGCAGTTGGAGCCTCAGCAATTTTTATATGAAACGTTTTTATGAATCAAACACTTTACCTCACGTAGGCAAAGTTTAAAAAGGAGCGTTTCTGCAATCACTTATTCAATATATTATTACCTTACCTTTTATTGGTGAAATATTCTTGAAATATGAGCTCCTGAAGATAAAAAAAATATTCGAAAAAATCAGCTACGCTTTACATACTAATTAATTTTCTCATTTTTTTCCTAAAAAGGTTCGAGTCTCTGCCATTCTCCCGATGTCTGTTCTGTTTCGGAATATTGTTTTGGGAGGGCGGGCATTTCTGTTCTCATACATGTCATATCCGGGTCCTTCATCATCCATGTCTCTATAGGGGCGACAGTGGGGGAGCTTCAATCCATCCCACTTTTCGCTGAGACTGAGACTAAATTTTGCTGAAACCAAGATTAAATTTTGCTGAGAATGAGATTGAATTTTGCAGGGACCGAGAATAAAATTTGCTGAAACTGAGACGAAATGTTGCTGGAACGAAGATTAAATTTGGCTGGAATCGGTATTAAATTTTGCTGAAATTTGACTAAATTTTGCTAAAATTTAACTAAATTTTGCTAAAATTTGACTAAATTTTCCTGGAACCGAGATTAAATTTGATTGAAACATATTAAATTTTAACTGAAACTGACACTAAATTTTGCTGAAATTGAAGATTAAATTTGTCTTCTATGACAAAGCTACTGAATTATATCGTTTGTCTAAAATCATTCTTCTTCCTCTTCTATGTGCTCTTCAGAATGTTGGTGATCATAGCTCTCCACAATTTTCTAGCTTTTAGTAACTTTTTTTCTTTTTATTATCTCTCCTAATCCCTGTTCCGCCATCACAAGTGATGTAGAAGCCATGGTATTCTCAGCATACTTCTGTAGAATCACGTTTCTATTGCCTCAAGTTTCTTATTCCTCTGTGCTGTGGACTAATATTACGTAACATTGCAGTAATTTTTTCATTGTTTTTAATGTCATTTTCCTGATATAGTTTGCTTAGCCTCTTTCGCTATCCAAAGCCTTCGGATTTCAGCCTCTTTCGCTATCCAAAGCCTTCGGATTTCAGCCTCTTTCGCTATCCAAAGCCTTCGATTTCAGCCTCTTTCGCTATCCAAAGCCTTCGGATTTCAGCCTCTTTCGCTATCCAAAGCCTTCGATTTCAGCCTCTTTTCGCTATCCAAAGCCTTCGGATTTCAGCCTCTTTCGCTATCCAAAGCCTTCGGATTTCAGCCTCTTTCGCTATCCAAAGCCTTCGGATTTCAGCCTCTTTCGCTATCCAAAGCCTTCGGATTTCAGCCTCTTTCGCTATCCAAAGCCTTCGGATTTCAGCCTCTTTCGCTATCCAAAGCCTTCGGTTTCAGCCTCTTTCGCTATCCAAAGCCTTCGGATTTCAGCCTCTTTCGCTATCCAAAGCCTTCGGATTTCAGCCTCTTTCGCTATCCTAATTCGCCATCGGATTTCAGTGTCGCACTTTCCGTCCTCTGTTAAAACACTTCCCAAATATTTAGATGGTTGTACTTGATTGATTTTAGTATGTACAGTTTGTAATTTGCATTTTAAGCTTCTCCTTTGTCTAATAACCAACCAACAGGGAAGTTCTATTTTCACTGCAGAGTTTTATGTAATTGAGCTAAGTCTCAACATTATCGCAGAGAGCAAACAAAATAATTGTAACCTTTTCGGACTCACTATCCGTTCTAGTGATTTTGAAGGAAAAAAATCCAACAACCCAATTATTATGAAAATATTATGCAAAATGAGAACTCTTAACATGCATAACGACATCAAGCTATGCTAGATTCTTAGCTTCATCAAAGTTAAAGGTAATAATGAAGCAAATCTAGCAGTCTAGCTTTAGATGTGAATATGGATACAGGGATCAAAATCCCATACACAGGAGATTATTAATAAACACATTCAAGAGGAATGTCAAGAGTACTGGGACGATAACGAACACAATAAAATCTTCGGAATCCAACCCAAACTATGAAAATGGAAGCTCCCAGAAAATCTTGTAAGGAAAAAATGGTACTGGCCCGCGTAAGCATTGGCCATTCGAGAATAACCCACTCGTACGTGCTAAACAAAGATGAACAACCAGTATGTCAAGCATATAAAACAACATCTACTATTAAACATAAGATATGTTTAATAGTAGATGTTGTTTTATATGCTTAATATGGTTAAGATAACCGATTGCTTCGATCTTTCTCTCTCAAGAATAAAAATATTTATAATATGAAGAATATATATGAGTTGTTGGAGAAAGTAAAAAGTGGATGATATAATTTCTCAAAACAGTCGGACTCTACCAAAAATTATAAATCAAATGAGAATATCAAAATTAATTTCTTTATAAACCGTGTATCTGAAAAGAATACATCAATGAAACCAGACTCTCCACAACAACCCTCTTTACAAAAATATATCAATGAAATCCGATCTACCAACTGTTTCCTTACAAAGAATATACATTCTGTTCATACAAATCTATTGTAAAAATCTTGTCGGCATTAAATAACCCATTGAGGTTGATATGGCGTAAAACAAACCAAACCAAACCATCTTTTGGTGCAATCTTTTATATTATGTGCCATACCTTTGCATTGTTTCCTTCCTCCGTTTCATCATGATTTTCATCCTTTTCCCTTTATCTAGTTTT